GGATCTAAGATTAAAGAGACCAATGAGGAATTGAAGAGAGAAAGATTCCGGGAGAGTATTGGGCTTTATATTGAGAGTTTCAGAGATCGGAGTGACAGGAAAATCCTGGGGGAGGGGCCATCAGTTTCAAAAAGTAATCATTATACTACTGAGAAGTATTCATAACCCTTGTTTACTCACTAATATATTTCAGGAAAATTTTAAAAATAGGATTTCTCTTAAGAACTTAACACATATAATTTATGCCTACTAAATCGAATATTTAGATCTAGATCCTGGAGAAAACAGCTGACTTTCACTTATTCTTGAATATTGATTGAACATCTACTCTGTGCTATGCACCATCCCACAGGTGAGGTTACGTGGCGCCCGTGGTCTGGTCTATAACATCATCAACCGCAGCTCCCGCTTACCACAGCCAACAACGTTTGATAACCATCTTGGTATACTCCCTTCTTTTGTTTCAGGACATTTGTTTTGTTCTCTCGTTTTGATCCTATTGCAGGTATGATGCTATATCGTTCTATTTTATTTTGCAGAGTAATTACCTAGTCTTCGAAATTTCATTTTTACTGCTTGTTTTTAATAGGAGATGTGCTATACCTAATAAATCTCTCATATTATTTTTATTTCATTTTATTGCAGTAACTTTTGAATATGACATATAAATTTCAGGTGTACAGCATTATATTTCTATTTCTGCTTATGTTTCATCATGTTCACCACCAAAAGGCTAATTACAATCCATCACCACACACATGTGCCTAATCATCCCTGTCACCCTCCTCCCTCCCCCATTTCCCTCTGGTAACCACCAATCCAATCTCTGTCTCTATGTGATTGTTTGCTGTTGTTTTTATCTTCCACTTATGAGTGATATCTTATGGTGTTTGACTTTCTCCCTCTGTCTTGTTTCACTTAGCACAATACCCTCAAGGTCCATCCATGTTGTCACAAATGGCTGGATTTCATCGTTTCTTATGGTTGAGTAGTGTTCCATTGCATATATATACCACAACTTCCGTGTCCATCTCAAATTAGTTTGGGCAGTTATTTGTTTCCATTTATCTTGAGTGAAAGTGGTATAACATCACTGCTTTTGGAAATGATCAGTTTTTCCATCTCTTCTCATCGGGTAACTGGAGTAAACTTTCTAGAACGAAGAGAAGTAGAGCTCATGTTCCTGATTAGAACACTCGGTGGCCCACAGCCTCGTTTTCTCTACAACAGCATGGCTCGGCCAATTTACCCCCTGAACGTCCCAAACTGATGAAGCTCACATAAGAATGCCACACTCCAGAGTCCAGATCCTTTGAGGCATTTGAAGGGGTTGAGAAAATAACCAAAGTCTGGCTGCCTTTAGATGGAAGAAAGTGCAATGGATTTACGGTCAAAAAAGAGATTTTATTTTCCTACAGTGTCACTTCCTTCCAGTCATCTCCCTTTCAACTTCCTCAAACAAAGCCTGAAGTGAGAAAGCAGAGTTGTGAAATGTCAGTTTTGGGGTTTCTCTATTCACAACATCCTTCTGGTTTTCTGACGGCGAACCAGCCACATGCTTCAGGCTTCTATAGTAATATGTTGACCACAAGTGACAGAATCATTAATCTATCCTAATAAAGGAGAATTTTATGAGAATATTCTGAGATCTCCCACATCATTAAAGAAGAGCAAAACCACCTGTTAGGAACGATAGTCTTGAGTCTCTCGTACTCTCAACATCTTGCTGGCACTACCAAAATCATGATGCTCTGACTGCTCCTTACCTGGCCGAGTTCTCATGGTTGTATTTGCAGGGAGCAACCTTGAGGGATGAGATCACGTCTCCCTCCAGGACAAAGAGCAGGCTCACTTACTGCTTGCTCTGAAAGTGGTAGATTCTGAATTTGCTTGTCTTTGCCTCCTGGGGACCTATCGACATGACTCAGAGCTTTCTCTGGGACTTATCAACAAACTTTTCCAAACAAGTGTGAGAGCCAAACACACCCACTCCTTAACCCCATGGGCTTACCATCTAGCAGGATGGGGAGCACGGAAGATGCCATTATAGACAACATCAGGACCGTTAGGCAAGTACGAGCGTCAGAACAAAGGCCTGGGCTGGAGACAGATTTTAAAGCAGCAGGATCTTTTTTTTAATCTCTAAAATACTTATCAAAAGCATATTATGTGTCAGGTATTGGTCTTGGTGATCAAAATAGGCAAAATAACTTCATCCTGTATCACAGATCAGGCATAGAGTTGCTCTTGCCATGGAAAATGAGGAAACATTGCCTAGGCCATGTCTCAGAGGTGGACACAGACAGTTAAAAAGAGAGGACAAGGCTGGGAAGTCTGGTCCTTTCCTTTCCAGGACCAGGCTGGGGGGTGAGGGAGGGAGGAGGGAATTAAGGAAAGAAAAAGGAAAAAGGAAAGGAAAGAAGGAGAGCAAGAGGTGGAAGAAAGAGGAGAGAGAGAGACTCCTTCCTGGCTGAATCTGTGGAAATGTGGACGGCCCAACTAGCAGCTGTGGTCGTCACTGTTCTTAGGAAACACTTGACTGTTTGAATGCTCACAAAGCAGTTAGGACAGTGGCTGGACACAGGGCAAATCCCTGGGGCCCACTGATAACGACCCCCTGTAACACTGAGGCTGTCTAACTGGATTTTTCTGGTCCCTCCACTTGCTTGTCTTCATGGATATGAGCAGCTCACCCGAGCCTCCTCTGTGACAGAGACAATGCTGACCCTCTCAGAGTCACTGTGAGGACTGAATAACACAGGAAGGTGAAGAATTGATGCACAATAGGTGATAAGCCGATGGATTAGTTCCCTAGAGCTACTGTGACAATGTAGCACACACTGCGTGGCCTAAAACAGCAGAAAGTTATTCTCTCACAGTTGTGGAGGCTGGAAGACCACAATCAAGGTTTCAGCAGGGCCACACACACTCGGAAGGCTCTAGGGAAGTATCCTTTCTTGACTCGTCTGGCTTCTGGTGGTTGCCAGAAATCCTTGGCGTTTCTTGCCTTGTGGCATCACAACTCCAATCTCTGCCTCTATTGTCAAACGGCCTTCTTCCTTACATATTTCTGTGTCCACTTTCGCTCTATGTATACGGACACCAGTCAATGGTTATAGGGCTCCTCGTTACCCCCTCCACCCAGCGAAATAAGTCTGACCTCATACTAGCTTGGTCATGTCTCCAAATAAAATCACGTTCACAGGTATCAGGGGTGAGAACTTGAATAAATATTTTTTGGGAACACAATTCAACCCACAACAGCAGGTATTCATTATCAGGATTGTTGGACCCCCTGATGTTCCCACTGTCAATCTCCAGTCCCTACCTTCCTCCTGAACTCCAGACCATCTCCAGCTGTCTGCTGCATGCTGGTCTCCATGGGGAAGTCCTAGAGACCCCTGAGCTCCCAACATGTGACTCTGACATCATTGTCTCCATCATGGCCCTGCCCCCCAACACTTGAGAGAAATGAAAACATACAGTGAAAAAACTTGTACAAATATATTCACAGCAGCTTTATTCATAATTGCCAAAATCTGGAAACAAACCCAAAGTTCATCAACAGAAAAAAGTGTAAACAAACTGTGATACACTGGAAACCTACTCAGCCATGAAGGAACAAAGTACTGATACACACACACAATGGAAGAATCTCAAAAAACTCATTACTGATTGAAAAAGCCATTTCAGTACATACTGCATGATCCTAATAATATAAACCATTTATAATATTTAAAAAGTTCATTTTTTCTAGACATTGATCCACTGGTTCTACCACATTTGTTGAAATGTCCTTCCTTTCCAAAATGAATAGACTAGATGCTGTTCAGTGGACCGTGTATAATGTGTGGGTCTATTTATGGACTCTGTTCTGACCACACCACACTCTCTTGATGACTCTACTTCATAGTAAAGTCTGATGTCACCAACTGCGGTCTTCCTTTTTGACACTGTTTTCCTATTCTAGGTTTTTACATTTCCATATAAATTTTAAAAATCCACTTCTCACACACACACGCACACACACATAAACCAATATAGAGAAAAGTGGCATCTTAACAATATTGTAAAGATTATTTCTGATTCACTGGTTTTGTCTAAATCCATGAACATGGTATATCTCTTCATCCATTTGGATCCTCTTTAACTTCCCTCAGCAATGTTCTGTATTTTTCAGTGCAAAAGTATTTCATGTTTAAATAAAATATTGTTCCTTGGTCCCTTATGCTTTTTTGGTGCTATTATAAATTTGTTGGTGTCCTTTTGTAGGGAATTTTTCATGCCTCACACAATCTTTGATTTCTTTCCACAACAACTAATTTATGAAGTGACTGCTGAGATATAGTCTTGTCTTCTTGTGGGTGCTGAAGGGAAATTTTGGGATCATTTGCTTCATTCATCGGAAGGTAATGTGATCTTTTGAGAACCTTTCTCATTCACTGAGTTTGTCTCTATATGGGGCGATCATGAGTTGCAGCTTGACTGTCCCGTCGCAATGCAAATGTCCACCTCTTGGGCTCAGCTTTCAAAGACACAGGAAGATGATGGGCCGGTGCATAGACATTCCAGGAGGAGGGATCTAAGGGTGCAAGGTCTGAGGTCTGATGCTGGTCCCCTCCAGAGTCAGGAGAAATTCCCAGCAGGACCTTACTGTCCAAAGCACGGTGACCCAGCATGGGTTCAGAATACACTTTGTGGCCGGCGCTCTGACAGGATTTTACTCCCAGAATTCTCATTATGAATTGCAGGTAGGGCTTCCCATCCCTGTTTCACAGAGTAGGAAATTGACGCACTGAGAGGTAGGAGTCAGTCTGTCACTTACTTTGTAAACAGGTAGCGTCGATGCAAACTCGAAGTCTTTGGTTCCAAAGTCTGTGTTCTTTACACTATTACACGGATTTTTAACTCTAAGTCAGGGGCAATCAGGCCCTGATTTTTTCTTTGCCCCACTTGCGCTGTGACCTCTCAAGCCAGGGTTGAGTCTCTGCAGTTTCTCACTAGTGGATGTTGATCTCTGAGTACTCACTATCAGTGGCCTCCTGTTCCTGTGGATCCCGAGGCTTCATCCCATGAAAGCTGAGGGATGCATAATGGAGCTGTTCTTCCTCCCCTGAGCAGGGGGCAGACACATCTGGGGGAGGGTGGTCTGGTAAGCTGCTCTCCTGGGATTCAATCATGGGACCCTGAGTGGAGGGAGAGAGAAGGGAGTCAGAGCAGAACAGTAAGGACAGGATGAGACAGCGAGTGTCCAGGAGGGAAGCCCATGTATTCCTTCATCCATTCATCCCACATACACTTTTCTTGACATCTCCTTCCTTTATGCTTTCCTTGAATATTTGATATTTAGAGAACATGTTATTTGGTGCTTGGTAATCTCATAAACTTCCCAGAACAACCCCATAAGAATGATATTATCATTGTCTCCATTTTACACATATGAAAACAGCAATGATCAAAGTAAGCAGCATGCTCAAAGTCTTTGAGTAAGGGGAAAGCCTGGTAGCACAGCGATTAAATTCGTGCACTCTGCGTGGCAGCCCTGGGTTCACAGGTTCCGATCCCAGGCACAGACCTACACACTGCTTATCAAGCCATGCTGCGTCTGGCGTCCCACATAAAAAGTAGAGGTAGATGGGCACGGACGTTAGCCCAGGGCCAATCTTCCACAGCAAAAAGAGGAGACTTGCCATCAGATGTTAGCTCAGGGCTAATCTTCCTCACCAAAAAAACATCCCTGATGAAACTAGGATCCAATCTAGTTCTTTCTGACCACGAAGTCTGAGGCCCCCTGTGTGTGAGGCCCTGAGCTGCGTGTTGGTTGTTCTTTGGTGGACACAACAGATGCAGACCCTGACTTCCTGCAGCTTACAATTTAATTGAGGGAGGTAGCAAAATATGAGTTAAGCAAATAAATATCTAATTGTGAATTATGATATGTTGCACAGGAACTGGGTAAGCGAGAGAGGATTATAAGGCCTCGATGAAGGCATGGCACCCGCCCTTGTGAAGCTCGCAGTTTGGTGGGAGGACAAGGCAGTCAAAGAAATTATGTCCCTGTGGTAGGCAGAATAACAGCCCCCCAAAGGTGGCTGTCCAAGGTGATGCCCAAGCCCTAACCCCTAGGAACCTGTGAATGTGTTAGATTAAAAAAGGAATAGGGACTTTGCAGATGGAATTAAGTGAAGGATAGTGAAATGGGGACATTCTCCTGGATAATTTGAGAGGGCCTAACGTATTGAAAAGGGTCTTTACATGTGAAAGAAGGCAGAGAGAAATTTGAAGACACTCTGCTTCTAGCCTTGAAGATGGAGGAAGGAGCCAAGAACCGAGGAAGGCAGGCGCCCTCTAGAGGCTGGAAAAGGTAAGAAAACGCATTTTCCCACAGAGCCTCCAGAAGGAACACAGCCCCGCCCGCAAATGCCTTCATTTTTGTCCAACGAAACCCAGTTTGGACTTGTGACCTCCAGAACTGTAAGATAATAAATTTATGTTGTTGGAAGCCAATGAATTTGTGGTGATTCATCACAGCAGCAACAAGAAATTAATGCAGACTCACAGAGAGTGAGTGACAGGTGCTGCTTGAGGAGCATCCTTCTTTGCTGCTCCTCTTCATAAGAGAACACTTCACCAGAATAGTAACTATTTTGCCCCTCCTATTCTCTTCATTATTCAAATTAAGATTCACACACACAACCACTTCCCGACACTGCTGTTATCAAGCACACCAGTGACCTCTGCTGGTGAAGTCCAAATAGCCATCTTTCAGTCCTCACCTCTCTGGACTTTGCAGCAGCAGGTGACCCAACTGCACACCTGCCCTAAAAGAAAGCCCCTTTAGACTTAATTACAAGACATCACACTTTCTGGGTCCACTGACCTCGCTGGAAGCCCTCTTGCTGGATGCTCCCCATCTCCCTGCCCCTAAATATCAGAGCAGCCCCGGACTCTTTCCTTCTTCAACTTTGTTTCATGATCTCATCCACTACATTGGCTTCATCTCATCTATAGGCTGATGACTCCCAAATCCGTAACCCCAGATCCTTCTCCTCTCTGGAAAGACTTTGACCCAAAGGTATACTTGAAATTCCCATTCCCTGTCAAAACAAACAGAAAACTCAACATATTCAGACTGAACTTCTCCTTTTCTCACCCAAATCTCTTCCTTCAATCATCTCAACCTCAGTGATTGCTGCCTCCATTTTTCCGGCTGCTCAGTGCAGAAATCTAGGAGTCATCCTTGACGCCTTTGTGTCACTCACACCATACTCCCAATCCATTAGGAATTCTCAGTAGCCTTAACTTCAGAATTCACGCAGAATCCGATCAAGCCCCACCCTCCTGCCATCCTGGTTCCAGCCACCATCATCTCCTGCCTGAAATGTTTCACCAGCCCCTTCTCTAACTTCCCTGACACACAGAGTCTCTCTGTGCAGAGCAGCCAGAGGGATCCTGTGAAAATGAAAGTTGGATCAGGTTCCTCTTCTGCCCAAAAGTCTCCAGATGCCCACAGTGTCCTGTGTGTGCAGACGTGATGTACACACACGCTGACTTGCCCAAACTCATTTCTGATGGTCCTGCCCCGTGGCCCTCAAGCTTTACCTGTGATAGTTGAGGGAAAGTTAGTGGAGCTCTTGATCTCATTATGCTTTGATGAGAAAGGCTTATGGGCAGAACTTGACTGTGGGGAAATGAGGACATACCATGTATGACCTCATCCTTCCCGTCACGTGAACTTGGGACTCCAGCTGTGCTATGGGGTGGCAGATACCCCTCTCCCAATGAGTCCCAGAGGAAAAAGATTGTTTCTTTCATTTACTATGTTATTGAACGGCAATGATGTACATGGGAATGGAGTATCTGGGAAGAAGCATAATAGCTCCCTCTGTAGTGGTGAAGGGTGGAATGAGTGTTGGTCCTCCCCTCTTCTCAAGCCATTAAAACAGAGAAATAGGTGGATTCTGGAATCCCTCTTGTCGCACTCCTCAGGCACTTAGTCTCAGGAACCAGGCGCTGAGTATCCCAAGCCCTTAACTCTCCTTGGAATCCCTCTTGCACTCAGAGTCCTGGCCCCACACTCATAGGAGACATGGAGTTGGGTGGTTTTGTAGGATCACAAAAACTCCGGGAAACATTATACATCAGAGTGGTTGATGCCAAATTCCTAGGCTTGTTGGGTGATGACCTAAAAATGAGGTGTGTATCGAGAGCCCTTATATACTATGAGGTAGTGAACTCTCCCCTCCTTCCAGCCTTATCTTGAACTAATTTCTCTGGGCTGCAATGAATGTGGCTCATCACACAAGGGGACGTCTGTCCTCCCAATACTCTTTGTAGATCTAGAGCTCCAGGCAAGGGAATGATGCTCTCCGTGGTTCTGAACTAGGGCCAAGTTCTGAGCTCAAAAATCGCCCAGCTCTAAGAGAGATCTGAACCCCTCAAGCATGGGATCCAAGATTCAGGCCTGGAAGGCAGCCATATAACCTGAAGTGGTGAAAAGATATGGCTTGCCTAAGAG